CCATGACTGATAGGTAGGGATGGGACTTCTGGAAGAAAATAACCCCCAGTCCCTTAATTCAGCAGGAATCCCCCTTAGGCAAAAGATATGGCAGCAGGAGCTGTCAAACATCAGGAGATACAGCATCTTTCTTACCTCCATGCTGTTCCTTCTTCACAGTCTCTGAAAAGGACCCAGTGGTACCTTAGCAAGATTCCCTGCAACTTGAAAGGGTACATGGGGAAACAAGTTCTGGCAGAGGCTCACATTAGGTTCGCTGCATGGAATTCAGCATGCAGGCAACTTGCATGCATAATTCCCCATGTGTGTGTGTCCTGCCAAATCATAGGACTGGGGTTCCATTTTTTTAATGATCCCTGTTCATGTTCACATACATTCCATTGTGATTCTGGACTTCTAGCAGGGCCACCCAAGGCAGAATGGTCAAAGCTGAGATATCAGATTCAGTGGCATCCACCCTCTTCAGGAGCAATAGTTTCTTCAGCAGAAGAGAATGGCGAATGGTTTTGGGGGCAGAGAAACTTCTGGAGGGCAGTTACTAGGTAGCAGCAGTGGCAGGCAACACTGGTGGCGCGTCTTCAGTGACAACAGCAATGACACTCAAGCTAACTGACTAACTTTTGTTAACCCTGTGCAGAAAGTGTGATTGGTAAACCACTGCTGAATGTCTTACCTCGAAAACCCAATCCAAACTGAGAGAAGAGCTAGTGCTGAAAAATGAGACTTCCAGGTTAGAAACCACTCAGTCAGGTACCTGGGCGGAGCAAAGGACAAATATAAATAATGGTGCCATTGAATAAGCAGTTGTTGTTGTTTAGTCGTTAAGTCATGTCCGACTCTTCATGATCCCATGGACAGAGCATGCCAGGCCCTCCTGTCTTCCACGGCCTCCCGGAGTTGGGTCACATTCATGTTGGCTGCTTCGGTGACACTGTCCAGCCATCTTGCCCTCTGTCGTCCCCTTCTCCTCTTGCCTTCACACTTTCCCAACATCAGGGTCTTTTCCAGGGAGTCTCCTCTTCTCATGAGATGGCCAAAGTATTGGAACCTCAGCTTCAGGATCTGTCCTTCCAGAGAGCACGCAGGGTCGATTTCCTTCAGAATGGATAGGTTTGTTCTCCTTGCAGTCCAGGGGACTCTCAAGAGCCTCCTCCAACACCACAATTCAAAAGCATCGATTCTTCAGTGGTCAGTCTTCTTTATGGTCCAGCTCTCACTTCCATACATCGCTGCTGGAAAAACCATAGCTTTGACTATGCGGACCTTTGTCGGCAAGGTGATGTCTCTGCTTTTTAAGATGTTGTCTAGGGTTGTCATCGCTTTCCTCCAAAGAAGCAGGCATCTTTTAATTTTGTGGCTGCTGTCTCCATCTTGGAGCCCAGGAAAGTAAAATCTCTCACTACCTCCATATCTTCTCCTTCTATTTGCCAGGAGGTGATGGAGCCAGTGACCATGATCTTAGTTTTTTTTTTTTTTATGTTGAGCTTCAGACCATTTTTATGCTCCCCTCTTTCACCCTTATTATGAGATTCTTTAATTCCTCCTCACTTTCTGCATTAGAGTGGTATAGTCTGCATATTTGAGGTTGTTGATATTTCTTCCGGCAATCTTAATTCCGGCTTGGGATTCATCCAGTCCTGCCTTTCGCATGATGTATTCTGCATATAAGTTAAATAAGCAGGGAGACAATATACAGCCTTGTCGTACTCCTTTCCCAATTTTGAACCAATCAGTGTTTCCGTATCCAGTTCTAACTCTTGCTTCCTGTCCCACATACAGATTTCTCAGGAGATAGATAAGGTGATCAGGCACTCCCATTTCTTTAAGAACTTGTCATAGTTCGTTGTGGTCCACACAGTCAAAGGCTTTTGCATAGTCAATGAAGCAGAAGCAGATGTTTTTCTGGAACTCTTTGGCTTTCTTCATAATCCAGCACATGTTAGAAATTTGGTCTTTAGTTCCCCTGCCGCTTCTAAATCCAGCTTGTACTTCTGGGAGTTCTCGGTCCACATACTGCTGAAGCCTGCCTTAAAGGATTTTGAGCATAACCTTGCTAGCATGTGAAATGAGTGCAATTGTACGGTAGTTGGAGCATTCTTTGGAACTGCCCTTCTTTGGGATTGGGATGTAGACTGATCTTTTCCAATCCTCTGGCCACTGTTGAGTTTTGCAAACTTGCTTGCATATTGAGTGCAGCACCTTAAGTGTCATCTTTTAAGATTTTAAATAGTTCAACTGGAATGCCATCACTTCCACTGGCCTTGTTGTTAGCCGTGCCTTCTAAGGCGCACTTGACTTCACTCTCCTGGATGTCTGGCTCCAGGTCAGCAACCACACTATCTGGAATAAGCAGTGCCTAACCCCAGAATCTTGTGGGCATCCACTATAGTTATGATGAGGAGATGGAGTTGATTTTAATTAAATGGAATTCAGCATGCGGGCTGGATGTATTTCATTGGCTTGCCCATCTGTGGCCACTGGCATGCAGACATGCACTGAAGCCCTGAAAAAGGCAACTTATGCCAAGTCACCGAGCCAGTAGAACAGAGACTTGATGAACCTCATTTTCATGGGCCCCCGCCCAGTGTATTTACTATAGTTTGGCACTGCCTATAGCACTCCAGTCTTTCTCCTTAGCGATATCCGAGCAGGCAAACTGGAGAAAAGTTGCACGGCCAGTCTTAAATCCAAAGTAAGCACAAGTGTTCCAGCCAAAGCCGTCGCCACCGCCACCACCTCCAACTTGGGGGGAAAAAAACCATCCCATGTTAACACACAAAGTGGAAGGACCGGTTGCTCATTGAAACCAAGCTTTGGTCAAAACCCAAAAGATGGACAGAGTGGTTTTAACACAGCACTTCATTAGTAGGGTGGACAGAAAGGGCCAGAAGCCAAGTCAAAGCTTCCATGGCCTTCGATGGGATCAACATCTTGGGCTCATACCTGTGCCCTGCCTTCTTCAGAATGAAGGGAATTCATTTGGATATCATGGTTAACATGGAAAAATAGAACCTCCATGCACAGAAGCAGGATACCTCTATGCAACAGCTGCCGGGACCAAAGAATAGGAGGAAGCCATTGCCCTTGTGCTTTCTCTTTAGCTCAAAAATAGAGTAGATCTTTAATGAAATCTTGCTGCATCTCCTCAAATCCCCTGGAATTTTCTTGAGTTCTGATGGAGAGCCTCAGGAAAGATGCCCCCCTCTCAATTCTGAAAGAGCCACGACCAGTTGAAGCAGACAATTTTCATCACTATTTAATATTCTGATACAAAAATATTCTAGTAATTCCTCTTTGGTGACCCATTCAAGCTGTGAATGTCTAGTAGTGGATGAGTTGGACAAGACGTTTTTCTTTAGCAGTGCCTTGCTTACAGAACAACTTTCTCAGAAAAAAAAATACCCACCAAGTACCAACTGAAAAGCTCTTTTAAGCAATGTTTGTAACATTAACTTTTTTTTTCGGCATCCAGATTCCAAAACAAAACCAACCAAACAAAAACAAACAAACTCCTAACCAGCACTGTTTGTGGGGAGGGGGGATTATGGGAGCTGTAGTCCCCCAAAGTTACCTGCCCACATCTTATTCTCCCAACCTTTTAAACTAATTTATGTCTGCTAGTATCTTTCTGTTTATAAGGTGTGTTTTAATTTTAACCCTTTTACAAATTTTGTTTTCAGGGTTGCATTTGCATCTGTGAGCGACTCAGAGAAATTGTGCGGAGGGGTGGCTACATTATAGTGTAACAAATGAATAAAATGGAATAACTCAATGAAACAAAGCAAGATGGATTTGGGCTGAGGCAGACTGTTCCGACTAATACCGGTATGGCGATTTCATAAGGAGAGGGAGAGAAGAAGGAAGACTTGTTACAGCTGTTGGGTTATTGTAGTACACCACCGTAGCTAGATTGAACCTCCATGGTCTGAAGCAGCCTATCTTGGAACATCGGTTGTTGGAGGGGAATAATGGGAACAGACATACGCCTCCGTGCCTTAAAGGTGCATTTCCTAGAAACGTCTAGCAGGCTGCATTGAGGGGAACAGAACCCAAAAGGAGAGAGGTCTTTTGACGCAGCCAGACAGGGTCTTCTCATGTTCTGATTTTAAACCATTTCCCAAGAATGACTAGGTTGCGTCAACATGGGTGTTTGGCCCACATTTGGAGAAATTATTTTTGAACTCCTGCCCCCAGAATCTGACTCCAAATAAAACATTCAATTTCCTTAGCCCTGGTCAAGAACGATATTATATGCCCCACTCTGGGGTGTGTTGAAGATGCAAAAATAAAAGCAGCAGAAATGCTCTACCTGGTGGGGCAAAGCGTTCCACCCCACCATGCTGGCTGGAGGAGTCTTGGAGTTGTAGCTTTGCCAAACTCTCACACCATCCTCTCAGTTACACCTTAAAGGGCAACCTTTTCGGTTTCACAAAATTCATTTCCCAGCATAGTGGAATGTTTAGCAAGATATTTTGTGCCTACGAGTGGCGGGGGGGGGGGGGGGGGGGGGAGAGGCAAGCTTGCTTCCAAAATGCAGTTACGTAAAAACAACATCAGGTTGGTAGTTGGCACAAGGAGGAAACCTTTTAACTCCCCAGAAAGATATAACAGATAAGACGTACTGCCTTGCGGATTCAAAGGAAAGTCCACCTGGCTTAGTACAGTATATTGTTTCCAACAGTGGACGGCCGAGACAATAAGTGATATGCTCATACAAAAAAACGGCAACGGTAAAAACAGGCAGTGGGTTCAAACTGCCCTGGAACTCATACACTCAAGCAAAGCATGTGATGCACAGTTAAATCTCCAGGCAGCAGCACCTGATAAGGAAAGAAATATTTAATTTTAAGGGCCTATTCCTTACGCCATATATGGAGGCTCCTTTCCTTCCATGATATGGGTCCAATACTAAATCACTTTAATTTTTGCAAACCATATGCGATGGCACGGCAAGAAGCCAAGAGGTAAAAGCGCATCTTAAGTGCAGTTGCAATACTCACATCAGCTTGGTGTGCCTCTTTTCTGGGGTTTTGGCAACCTTTTTCTCTCCTTTCCCCCCCTTCAATGCCAGCCACTTTGTCGCTCTATCAAGTCCATGATAAAGAAACAAAAAGCAACCGAACACGGCAGAGATAGGAAAGAGCAGTGTGGGTAAATTTGCACAGACAATAAGCCTTTTTTTTTTCTTTTTTGCATTTCGGTCAAACTCGCTGTACCAGTTTGCGTTTCTTTACCCCAGCAGCTGAAAGGTGGTTCACTGGAATCGAAGCTGTTTGGCGGGTTCTGCCATAATACAAAGAAGTGGTCAGACAAGTTTGCCACAAACACTACATAGAGATTTGATTGTTTTCCCATAATTACAGCTCGGCCCGAGTTGGTCAAAAAGTCAGTCAATCACATGAACAAAACATTTTCACATTTTCTCTCCCGCCCATCAGCTACCACTAGGATGGGAAATAATTGTTTCCTTTGACTTAATGGTAGTTTTTGTAGAATAATTCTTAATTTGTCCCACTCTGACAGTTTACTTTCAAGCAAGGCTGGCTGGAAGTGTACTGATCGAAGCATTTGTCAGCTGTTGTTCTCAGTAGAATCTTAGAAGAGATCCCAGGCATTTATTGTGATGGCAGCCAGATTTTTAAGGAAAAAAAGCTTCTATAGCTAAATTTTCCTTTGTTTGGGAAAAGTGGAAGAACTCATCAGGAATCACTCACAATCGATTTATTGAACAGTGCTTCAGCTAGGGTTGAGCAGAAAGTTGATGTTATTTGTCAATACATTCTTGAAAAGTAAAGTACTCTCATTTTTAATTGTTTTCATGGATGGCTACAAAAGGAATAGAAAGATTTCTCCTCTCTGGAAGCTTTGTTCTCATTTTTGGTCAGAGTTATTGTACTCACTGAGGTCAATCTGTTACAGAATGCCATGATGTATGAGGTCCCTGATTGGCTGAGATCATTCCACGATGTATGAGATCCCTGGTTGGTAGGGATCATTCAATTACAGAGAACGTAGGGGGTGTGGGAGGATCTGTGATCAGGCTTGATGGCGGCGGGGGGGGGGAAGGAATTCTGCACCAGCTATCTCTGTTTCTTGAGATATCTGATCTGGCAACTGTGATAACGCCCTAGTTACTTCCCAGATGGATTACTGTAATCCACTCTATGTGGGGCTGCTGATGGAGGATGTCAGGACACTTCAATGGGTCCAAAAAGCAGCAGCCAGATTGCTGACTGAGAGTGCTTACAGGGATCACATAACCCCCTTGCTACAGCAGCTCCATTGGCTGCTGGTCAGTTACCAGGCACAATTTAAAGTACTGGTTTTAATCTATAAAGCCCTAAATGGCCTGGACCCAAGCAATCTCAAAGACTGTGTCTTTGAGTCTGCTTGGGTGTTAAGATCATCAAAAGAGGCCTTTCTCTCAGTCTCACCACCTTCACAGGTGTGTTTGGTGGGGTACATGGGAGAGGACCTTCTCTGTTGCTGCTTCTAGACTCTGGAACTCCCTCCCACAAGAGGACAGCCTGGCTCCATCTTTGCTATTCTTCCGCAAACAGGCAAATACCTTTCTCTTCAGGCAAGACTTCCCTCAGTAACCAGCTATCTGTGTTTCCTGTTTAGACAGATTGTTATGCATTACTGCTTTGACTGGATTTTTAGTAGTACTGTACTGTACTTGTGCTTTTCATTTTTGTTCTCCATTTATCAGAGTGACTTTTTAAAAAAAATTGTATAGTTATTGATCTTTGTCTTAATATTGCTATTAATGATTTAAGATTCCTCCTTATTCATTGTTCGTAGTTTTAAATATTGTCTCTTAATGATTTTTACCAACGTTATATACTATTCCCCTCCCCCCACTTTAAATATTCTCTCTCAGTGTTGTAAACCACCTTGGGTCCTTCTCAAGGAGAAAGGCGGGATAAAAATATTTTCAATAAATTAAATAAATAAACGAAAACATTTCAGGGGCTCTGAAAGTTGGCCTGCACTCTTAAAAGCCATCAACTCGAGCTTTGGAAGAGTGATTGTCATTTCGTTTCTCTTTTTCTGTATCCAAATGGCGATTACCGCCAAGAAATTGGAAGGATGCTAAAATTTGGAAGGGCAGCTGTGAACCAACTCCTTAAAAGTAAAGATGTGTCACTAAAGACCAAGGTCAAGATCAGGCATACTCTGCTACTCTGGATGTTTTTGAAAAAAACTAATAGGTGGGGCTCGTCAGCCTGGGAAGGCAGCCCATCTAGGAGAAGGAAAACTCTGATTTCAAACCTCCCCTGCCTTGTGGCTATATCCACTCATGGAAAAGGCTTCAGGAGTAAACCTCAAGGCAAAATCTGGAGCCAGAGTCCCGGAGGCAGTTTGTGTCGTTCTGTCAACTCCTGCGACGTTGCTGGAACCAGTTGTATTGGCTCTTGCCTTTCCATTGGACTATTTCAGTGATATGGAGAGGGGGGATTTGCTGTTTGGGTAACAGCCTATCCTTCATATTATTCCACCCAGACTTCGTGCTCCGGAGAGGACACTCCAGCTTTGAATACAACGTTGAAGCAAAATCAGGGAGCTGGACAGGGGACAGATTGTATTTGCCTTCAGTGTGGAAGGGATGGTCACTCTCAAATTGGCCTTCTCAGCCACACTAGATGCTGTTCCACGTCCTCCATACAAAGCATGTTACCATAGTCTCTCGAGACTGAAGGATGGCTAGACAAATATAGGAAAAAAATGACTCATCTGAAATGTGTGTGCTAGAGGAGAGCTTTATAGATACCATGGACCACCAGAAAGACGAATCAATGGGTGTTAGTTTATATGAAGCCTGGACTCTCACGAGAACTGAAACTGCGTCAGTTGAGACTCAAGGGAAAAATAAGGAAGCTGGAAAAAGTTGAAGGCACCAGAAGAAGAGGAAGACCAAATATGAGATAGTAATAACAATCTCAACTGCAGAGCTGGAAGGAACCCAATGGATCATCCATTCCAGCCCCTTGTCAAGGAGGCACTGTGGGGTACTGAACCTATACCACTGAGTTATCCAGCCGTTCATTCCTGTTGGGTTGACTCCATAAAGAAAGTCTTGGTCTTTCGTTTGCAGGACCTGAGCAGGGCGGTTAAGGACAGGACCTTTCAGAGATCACTTGCTCACAGAATCACCAATAATTCAGAAATTCCATGGCATGTAACAGCTATCCAAACCAATGACTTTTCCACGCTCTGCTGAACTTCAAAAATCAGCAAAGCCGAGCACAGCCCTGATTTTCACTCCTACTGAATCACTCCTTCTGTACACGGATCAGTTGCAGCTGGTTTTTTTTTTTTCTAATGCAGGCTGCATAATACCGGAGCACATTTTCCACAAGTACCTGTCTGACTTGAAGAATCAGTGATCAAAGTGGAGGGTGCGTTGACTCCCATAATGTCGGGCTGGTAGGCGAGTCCGACCTGTTCCTGCCCTCTTTCATCACTGGGAGAAAACCAGCTTTCTTGACTTGGCACGATCAGACTTTGCTCGGATCCATGGAGCAGCAGAATTCTGAACGTGATCTCAAATAAATTTACTTAAAAATGGGTCTATTTGGTGTCTAGAAGGCAAGGATTCAAAAAAAAAAAGTGGTACCTTTACTGGCAGGGAGAACTCCATGCCTAAGGCAATATTTCAGGATGAGTCACTGTTCTTTTCAATACCAGATGCTGGAGATAAACTAAGTCCCAGCTACAGTGGTGCCTGGCTTGACGAGGATAATTCGTTCAGTTGAAATCGCTGTTAAGCGAAATCCTCGTCAAGTGAAATGAAAAAGGCCATTGAAATGCATTGAAAACCGGTTCAATGCGTTCCAAAGGGCTAAATACCTCAGCGTCCAGCGAAGATCCTCCATAGGGGTGGCCATTTTCGGTGTCTGTAAAGCGAGCAATCTGTCCTAAAGCACAGCAGGGAGCCATTTTGCACAGCGGGCGGCCATTTTAGAGCCGCCGATCAGCTGTTTTAAAATTGTCATCTAGAAAAAAATTGGTTCCCGAAGCAGGGAACCGATCATCATGAAGCGAAAATTCCCTATCTGAACATCGTTTTGCGATCGCTATTGCAATTGCAAAAAACTCATTGTAAAGTGGATTTGTCGTTTAACGAGGTAATAGTGAAGTGTACAACCTGGACTCAAGGGACTTTGGCACAGGTGTCTGCAGGGGATGGAGAACCTCCTTATACCCAATGATGTAGTGCTATATTTGGACATGCAGGTCCTTATTATGGCAGTCTCCGTAGCCGCTACCATCACACAATACAAGGTAACGCAGCACAGCATAATATTTGAAAAAAAAAGTTTCAAATGCAGGTAGCTGGATCAGTCCATATAAACAAACAAGGAGCAGGTTTTTACTGTAGTAAACATAACAGCTCTTAACTGCCCATTCAAGAGCAAACCACCCTCAGATATTTTTCATTACAACAGGAATAGCTTGCAACAGTATATTGTTCCTGGGAAAATCCAGTTTCACCCCCAGCAACTCTTGAGGACCACAGCTAAGCACAACGGGAACAGGAGATCCTGGAGGGTGGGGGTGGCGGTAAGTGTGGATGATGTCATAGTCGCAATTACTGGACAAATCTATAGGGCTTTGGCCTTTTGAGCCTTGTTCCACTGGTTGCTCTCCTTAGAACCCAAATGTTTTTACTTGTTTTAAAATACATAAAGATAGGCAGAGAGAGACACACAGAAATACATTCATACATAGAATCATAGGATCGTAGAAGAAATGAGTTAGAATGAGTCTGTAAGGCCATCAAGTCCAACCCCCTGCTCAGTGCAGGAATCCAAATCAAAGCAGATCTGACAGATGATTGTCCAGTTTTCTCTTGAATGCCTCCAGTGTTGGAGAACTCATCACCTCCCAAAGTAACTGGTTCCGTTGTTGTACTGCTCTAACAATTACCTGCATCTGGATAGTCAGCAAGAGGTTTGCAGTGATCTCTGAGACTAACAAATTCCATAGAAGCGATTCCTAGACATGGAGGCCTAGATGTTCATGGACTATAACTCACAGAAGCTCTAACCACTGGCGTTGATAGACTGTTTTGGTTCCGTTGTTGTACTGCTCTAACAATTACCTGCATCTGGATAGTCAGCAAGAGGTTTGCAGTGATCTCTGAGACTAACAAATTCCATAGAAGCGATTCCTAGACATGGAGGCCTAGATGTTCATGGA